TTAAAACATCTTCATAATACACCTTCAAAAATATTATATAGCTATTAGCTGTGCATACGTGTTTGTTGAGAAGATAAAGCAATAATGTAGTAGGTTTACTACATTGTAGCCGGTTGCATAAACTGACTACTCTTAAAAAGTTAGTCATCTAATTTTTTTTCTTTAAGACTGGTCATAACTTTTTAAAGTCGGTTACAAAAAGATAGACTGGCCCAGTTTGAATAATAAAAGTAAGTCTGATTACCTCTTGGCTAACTGCTAGTTAGTTAAACTAGTTCTTAAAACACAGTCTTAACATAGTGGCTATGTTTATGCAACTGGCCCGTTTTAGGAATACAACGAACCCGACTATGTTATCATCTCCAAGCAACATACAACAATAACAAAGTCCTTGAAAATGTATTTTGGGGTGCAGCTAGTCATTTTAATCAATTGAGTGCTCTCACTAGTAAACAAACAACATCTTACCTGAATTTGTGTTTGATGGATTTATCTTCGGTTTTATCTTTGGTCTGCCGCGTAAATGTGATTTTCCCCCTTATTTCCGTTAATCTCAGGTGGTGAATCTGTCCATCGCATTGGTGACCCACTGTCCTGACTCGTGAGATACTGAAGCGTCAGCAGTCTAGGTGTGAAGTACTGGACAGTTCTGTACAACTGGCTAAACACACGCGAAAATGGCTTGAAATAACCGGCTAACCCCGAGGTCTTCAACCTTGCTCCTGGGGACCCACTGTCCTGCAGTGTTTAGCTCCAACCCTAATCAAACACACCTGAAGCACCTAATCAAGCTCTTCAGGACTGCTTGAAAATACACAAGTAGGTTGGACATAAATATATATATATACATACATACATACACACACACACACACACATAACGCCCCTTTAAAATAACCACATTTTGTTGAAATGAAGAGGGACAGTTTTTGTTTTAACTAGTTGTATTTAATCACGGAGTTGGAAAAAAGATCACCCCGTGTGTCAGTATTTTGTTGAACCACCTTGTAATATGAACAGAATCGTTAACTATTAAAATTTGAAATCAGTTCTAATCAGGTTGACTTCGAATTTTCAGATTCGAGTCCTCTCAAAACCTGAATGAATTAATAATTAATTCCCTAAGAAAAGTAATCTGATATTACAACCTTTTGCTTTAATTACAGCCTTTTGCCCCATCCATTTTTCCTTCTATCCTGACAAGAGCTCCGGTCCCTGCTGCAGACAAAACACCCCCATAACAGGATATTACCACCTCCATGCTTTACTGTCTAAACACACGCGAAAATGGCTTGAAATAACCGGCTAACCCCGAGGTCTTCAACCTTGCTCCTGGGGACCCACTGTCCTGCAGTGTTTAGCTCCAACCCTAATCAAACACACCTGAAGCACCTAATCAAGCTCTTCAGGACTGCTTGAAAATACACAAGTAGGTTGGACATAAACTTTGCTGGACAAGTGGGTCCCCAGGAGTAGGGTTGGAGACCTCTGGCCTAACCGATTCAGTGAGAGAGTCATTTACACTAGAACGACTCCCGTTGATTACATTTAAATAGATCAGATTCCAACTGACATCCATGATTCTGACCGGTTCAACCGATTAACTGAAAAAGAACGGATTCAAAAGAGTCTTTTACTCCCGAATCAGACAGTTTTTTTTTTTTTTTGTAAGGAATGTACAGTGGTAAAAAAA